CATCAGCATCATCACCATCGTTATCATCATCATCAGCATCATCACCATCGTCAATCCTCATCACCACCACCGTCACCACCCCACCATCAACGCTATCATCATCATGATCCTGTCATCATCCCTTGCTCCTGATAGTTCCCCTCATTGAGCTTCAATCGATGCCTGCAAGGGGCCAATCGCAGAGGCCTCCAGGCAGCCTCCAGACGGCGCCAAGAAGGCTTAAGAAAGCCCTCACTGGGCGCCCACGACGGCCCGAGAAAGCCTCAAGACAGCCCCCTATACATGCCAAGGCGGTCCCAGAAGCCTCCCAAACCCCGCAGGAGTCAATAGCATCGTTCCCCCTGCCCCTGAGTCTCTCTCACGGTATCGCCCTCTCGTCCTCCTCCTCCTCCTCCTTCTCCTCCTGCTCCTCGTCCTCGTCCTGCTCTTCGTCATCTAGCCCACTCTTCTCGTTCTGCTCTTCTTCCTCCACCTATCGTCAACCTCTCCTGCTCCGCTGCTCCTTCTCGGCGTCCTCGGGCAACACCTGCAACCGCAACCTCCAAGAGGCCCCGGAGAGCCCCGAGGAGCGCACGGGAGGCCCTCCATGTCAAAAGTTGAGACGAGTAACCAGCTACGTACCTCACACGTCGCCACAGCATGATGCCAAGGGTTCGGCGGACGCGGGGTCAGCCTTGTGAATCAGATTGATCCGCTCGCCAGACAGAATGTCGTCCGCGCCGTGGCGTCTTCTCCCGAGGTGGACGACACAACGCCCCTTCTCATGCTGGTACGTGAAGCTGTGCCGACGGTGCTGGGCATGCCCCATGGCGCCACAAAACTGCAGCCCGGCTCCAGTGAAGTTGAGCCCCAAGCACACGTTGAAGGTCACGTCCGAGTCGTCTGTGTGCACGTCCAGCCCGAGATCCTCGCCATCGCGGTACCGAACGGTAAAGCAGTGGTGGCCGTCCCAGTCGCTGCCAGGGCCAGGGAAGAGCAAGCGCCCCACTGGCTGTAGAAGGCCCTGGAGCTTGTCCACGAATGGCTCCAGGCCTATGTCACTGAGGATGATCCCATAGTTGTTCATGCTGTTGGGCCTGCGTGCTGGAAGACCACTGGCATAGAAGCCAAAGAGCTCGTCAACGAAGAGGGCGCAGAAGCGGTCTGAGAAGAGCGAAAAAGAGTAGACCTCGCCTGGAACATGCTCGGCGAGCACAGATCGCAAAGTCTCATCATTACCTGATGTGACTGCTGCCCAGAACTCTGGATGAAACCATTCTGGCTGCAAAGGCGACAAATTATCAAATAGAACAGGATGCCTGGCAAGTGGGCCGTACTTGTGGATCACGTCGACCCGCTTTGCGTTGATGCCGCGCACATCCTTGACCCACTGGCTCGTGCGCCTGAGAGCCTTGCTGGCCTCGTCGTCACCAAGGCCAAGCGCTGCCACGGGATCCAGGAGAAAAAGGTGTAGGTGGCGCAGGACGCGCTCTAAACTCAGCCCACCGTCCGACTTGCCCAGCTCGGCCAGAGCCTCGTAGAACTCTGCCACTGGCGCCCGCGTACTGCTCACGCACGCAAAGCTCAGCGCCCCGGCGATGCGCACCTCTGGGAGTTCCCGGGGCCAGCCCGCGCCGAAGCGTACGCGCGCCCGGAAGGGCGCGCCGTAGACGGGGTCCGAATTGCTGCCGGTGAGCACCACGTGCACGTCCCACGGCCCCGCTTCCGGCGCAGGCTGCACAGCCTCGCCAGAGCCGTCCACCAGCAGCGGCACGGGGGCGGGCCCCCTCAGCTCCAGCAGCAGCGCTGGCGGCCGCTCGTGGGAGGGCGCCGACTATACACCTGCACCGATCCTGGCGAGGCTCTTCTGGGCCCAGGATCGGGGTAATTCCCACCAGCCCTCTGGGCGTAGGTGGTCTAGGGAGGCTCCTCTTCCACCCCCTTCCCCTTCGGGAAGGGGTTTACCCCTCCCCACTACCCCCTACCCTCTAATCCTGGACCTGGGTAGTTGGAGCGTCCAAAATGACCCAAGATGACATCCAAGATGGCTCAAGATAGCGCAAGATGCCTCAAGATGGCTTTCAAGATGCTCCAAGAAGCCCCAAAAACGCTCCAAGACGGCTCCAGGAGGCCTCCGAGACCTCCCGGGAGTTCCCCAAGAGGCCAACATCCTGAAAACCCGAAGGAAAATCAATGATTTTTGATGTCTAGCCGTTCGCTTCCGATGGCCATCCGAGGCCTCAAGATGGCTCTAAGATGGCCTCAGAGGGCCCCAGGAAAGACCCAAGAGAGCCCCAGGACGGCCCCAAGAGCGCCCAAGAGCGCCAGAAGAGGTCCAGGAGGCGATTTTCGGTGCCCCCGAGGGGGAGGCTACTTGGAGCTCCCCTCTTTTTTGATCGATGTCCTCCAAGATGGCCCCGAAAACGCCCCTAAAGCTCCCAAGAGCGGCCCATGAGGGCCCCAAGAGACGCCCAGACAGCCCCAAGAGGCAACCTCGAGGCCTTCAAGAGGCTCTCAAGAGGCCTCAAGAGGATCCCCGAGGTACCCAACTCTACCTCCTTTTCCTCCTTTTCCTCCTTCTCCTCCTTCTCATCCTCCTCGTCCTCGCCCTACTCCTCCTCCTCTTCCTCCTATTCCTCCTCCTTCTCCTTCTCCTCCTCCTCCTCCTCCTCCTCCTCCTACGACGACGACGATTCCTCCTCCTTCTTCCCCCTCTTGGGGTATATGACGGTTTCCCCGCCCTTTGTTCTTCTTCATGCTCCCCCACTTCCCTGATCACCTCAACTCCCCTGGGCATCGTTTCTGGATGGGCTGGTGGGGATACTTTTTGCGGCCGCAGGCGAGAGCGCCGACGGCGAATAAGGTTCGAGCGGGCCGCGCAAAAGCCTAATTGTCTAACGCCGACGAGCCGGCGACCTAAGCAGCACCTGGGCGGGCAGGCCAGCGCGAGGGGGTGCGGGCTGCAGCTGCCAGGAGCTGGTGGGGATACTTTTTGTCGCAACCGCAGGCGAGGGGGGCTGGTGTTTTTGGTTATGTGTATATATATATATATATATATATATATATATATATATATATATATATATATAACAGCCGCAGGCGGAAGCGCCGGCGGCGGCGGGTCACGGTCGGGTTGCGGCCGTGACAAATTAGCTGGGCGCGCGCGGGGGCCGCGGATCAGGCGGCGGTGCAAGCTGCTGCCCAGGGAGTCTGAAGGGAAACAGCCACCCAGGAAGCAGGGAGGACGCGGCCAAAATGGCGCGACGCACATCCCCAGTCGAGGATCGTGTCGGTCCGACGATCACAAGGCAGTGGGGATCTGTCTCCGTGCACGAGGGGCGTCAGAGAGCCCAGGGTGTCTGCCGGGTATGAGCGAGACCGTAGGCAAGAGAGCTGACGTCGACCAGCAGGGAGAAGGGACTCTGACAGCGCCAGCGAACCGTCGCAGCTTCAGAGAACGCGTCCACGCGGCTGAAAACGCACGCCTGAAGTCATTGACAACCGGAGTCAACCTCAAACCAATTGCGGAAGAATGCGTCTGCACGCGAAAGATCAACGACATGATGTGACGCAGTGCAGGGGTACACCTGTTCCCGACCTTGGTGAGAGACACGACGGCCAACCGAAGGTGACAGGGCGTGTACCAGGAAGCAACGAAGTGACATAACAAGAGCGGCTCTCCATTCACGCTGAGGGACCAGAAAGAGGAAAAGCGCTCTGAGAAAGCTGCGCTGCCGCATACCCACTGCAGCACAAGCAATCCGTAGTCACGAAGAAGCCTAGGGAGTGGCCGCTCAACAAGGTTGAGCGTGGGAGCGACGATGGGGTGACGTCAGTGCGCACGGATCCTCGCGGCGAGCGGTGCACCACTAGCCACTGGGGTAGCACGCCTGGGCCAACCGCTGCCAGACTGCGGTAAATCATGTACGGAAGCACGCCTGCGACTCAGTCCGAATACGGCCGCAACGGACCGGGTGGGCATTCCAGCCGGCGCAGCGGGGCGACCCACGTCACAAGACCGCCTGAGCAACGTTAAGACCCACTGACGATGAGTCCAAGCCCAGGCTCGCTCCCAGGGACGGTGGAGAAGCGCGGCTGAGGCCGTAGCATCTTGGGGAAACCCAGGGAGTAAGAGCGCGGCTCTGGGTGTGACGAGGCGAAGCCATCATTGCGTCGGTCGCAGAACCGCGGGCCGGGGCGAGCCTGGCAAGGTGAAACCAGCTACAGCTGGGCCTGGGGCCACTATGACTACACGCAACACGTATGGGTGTTGCTGGTGGGGATACGCGAAGCGTCAACAATACCCTCCTGGCTGGTGCAGGAAGGCATATACACCAATCTCGGGCCTAGACTCGGCCTGGCCAGGATCGGTGTACGGGAGGTTCGTGACATGACGACCCTGGGGTTGGTTTCTGACACTGCGGGGATCGTTCAACCTGGAACGATCGGCCGTTTCCGAAACGTCAGCTCGTTCAACATCCACCGAATCGGCGTCGCTGGCGGCGTCCAACGTTGCACGCCAGCGGCAGCGGCGCCGCCGGCCAGCGAACCTGCCGTAGGTGTAGCCTACGCCCTCCGAACTCGGTCAGCGCCTGGACCTCCGCGCGCAAGTGCCGCAGCGCCTCGCAGGTGGCAGCCGCCGCTGCGCCGTCGCAGAGCACTGGCGCGCGGGTGCCGCCCGTCGAGGCGGCACGCGCACCGCCGCCGCCGCCGAGGGGCGGCGGGCGGCGGGCCCACCAGATGCCCAGGAGCCCCGCCCCCGCCCGCAGCGCGGCGGCGGCGGCGCGGGCGGCCCGCCTGCTGCTGCGCAGCGCGGCCTCGGCGACGGCGCCGCCGCCGCCGCGCTCGCCGCCGCCGCGCTCGCCGCCGCCGCGCTCGCCGCCGGCCGCGGTGGCCGCCCGCGGCGGCGCCCTGGCCGACGGCGGCCGCCTGCCGTGGCCGCCACTGGCCGCGGCCGCGGCCGCTCGGCCGCGGCGTTGCTGGGAGGGCGCCGCGGCGCTGGCGCGCCAGCACTGCACAGCGAGTGCGCCGTGCGCGTCCGCGGGCGTGGCGAGAGGGGCGCGGGCGAGGCCGCCGGGGCAGCGCGGCGCAGCGCAGCCCAGGGCGCGGAGCGCACGCATTGGCAAGGGGGGCGGGCAGGGCGACAAAGGGCGCGGTCGCACACGAGGCGCCCCCTCTGCCAGCTTGGGGGGCTCGGTCGCACACGGGATCCCCCTTCCGCCGGCCCCTCGAAGGGCGCTGGCGGAGCCTGCGCGCCGCGCGGGCGCAGGCCCAGCTCGGGGCGAGACGGCTCAGGAAGAGATGGGGGGCGCAGCAAAGGAACGGAAACGGGGGTGGGAGGAGGAGAAAAAAAAGGAGGGGGCGAAAGGGGGAGGATAAAGAAGAGGGAGGAGGAGGAGGAGGAGGAGGAGGAGGAGAGGAGGAGGAGGAGGAGGAGGAGGGAGGAGGAGGAAGGAGGAAGAGGAGGATGAGAGGAGGAGGAGGGAGGAGGAGGAGGAGGAGGAGGAGGACGACGACGCCGACGAGGAGGTGGAGTTGGTGGAGGAGGTTGAGAAGGAGGAGGTGAGAAGGAGGAGAAGGAGGAGGAAGAGAGGAGGAGGAGGAGGAGGAGGAAGAAACTAGAAAGGAGGATGTAGAGGTGAAAGGCTGACTTGTCAGTAGCGCGGCGTATCAAACGGATGGTATGAGGCGCGAATTTGGCGGGCGCGGACAAGGATCCCTTGAGCCAAACAGCCACAAGGCATGATCCCACTCGCGCCCGTCGAACTGGCAAAAGGGAGACGACTGGGCAGAGGCAGGACAACACGGCAATGGAAAAGGAGCCACTGTTCGAGTTCGGAGCTCAAGCAAGTCCGTCGTGCCTTCAAACAACCAAACAACAGGAGGGCTCTACTTCCCGTCCCTTCATGAAGACATGCATCGCGGAGGGACGCGTTGACGTTTGTTCGGTAAGCCCCAGGGTCACCGGCTTTCGTTCCAACGAAAGAGCACATTGGCCCCCCACGGAGCCAACCGCAAAAACACGTTCCCAGGGGTCCTCGGAGGTGCGCTCCCCCTCGCCCAGCTGGCCCCATCGTTCGGCCAATT